CCAATTGTTTATATGCTTGAGAATGGGCCATGCTCATTGACGATTTATCCCCATCATTCGATTCAGAGAGAAAAAACAAAAATCTTTGACGACAGGGATGACCACAACTCTGGTAGGCAGCGGTAATTTTTAGATCTGTAGCAATAGCCATGAATATCCGCCAGCGGATTCGGTCTCCATATAGGCCAGTTCATCTGGATATACTGTTAGCCTTGGTTTGCGAAGTCTCATGTTTTGATGTTAACAAACAATATAAGAGCTTGACGTTTGTTTAAGTGTTTCAGGAACAACAAGAATCCATTAAGATGTGGTTCTCAAGAGTCGAAACACTAAACTAGCGTAGAATTTAGGTAGAAACCGATGTAACGATATGATTTTATATACCTATATTGACAAGCTCAAAAGCACTCACAAAATATGTTTAAAACCCTTTTATAATCATTTTCAAACATCCAAAAGGTTTTAAACAAAATTGGAAATGATTTGGACAAAAATGAAAAAAATTGTCAAAATGGTCATAAGGTACCTAGGTACCGTGAGGGGTACCGTAAGGGGTACCGTGAGTTAATCTGAGAAGGTACCTGCTACCTTCAGCATGGGACCCGCTACCGTCTGGACGGGACCCCCCTACCGTAAGGGGTACAGTAAGAAATAGGTACCACTAGAGAGTTTTGGCCTGAGAAGGTACCTAGCTACCGTACGGGACCTAGCTACCATGACAGGGTACCGTTACCGTTGGAACACTATTCCTGATTGCTAATTTTTGAATTAATTCAACTCTAATCACCTCCTAACGGCTAATTAACATCTTCCACTATAAATATAGGCCTAATACTTCATATTTCAACAAGAAACAAAGCTCCAACCATCCTCCCTTTATATTTTGTGAAATTTTAAGTGTGCTCATCCTTTTATTAATTATTTTCATTATTTTGGCTATTTCAAGAGCCTTAAGATCCTGAATTTTATATGCACACCTTGAGCTTGTGTTTTTAGTTGTATACTCTCATATTCATAAGTTTGAATTGTATTTTTGAGAGAGTATACTTTCCTTCTACACCGGCTAAGTTTTGTTCTTCATTTTTATATTCAAGCCGTTGTGTTGAACTCTTGTTTGTGTTCTTCAAACACATCTTTATACGGTCGAGAATAGCCGTTAAATTCTCATATTGTATCGGTCGAGGATAGCCATATAAATCCTTGGGTAAAGGTTCAAGGATAGCCTTTAAAATCCTTGGGGGAACGTTAGAAGATAGCCGTTAAATCTTCATTGTAAACGGTTCGAGATAGCCGTGGTGAAATCTCGGAGTGAATCCTATTGGCAAGGGTTGTTTGCCAAACTAGTACGGTGCTTTGACGGAGTTCAAGAGACCGAGACTTAGTGGATTCGGAAATACTTGAGGAGGAGCCTCGAGGTACTGGAGTAGGGAGTTCCCGAACTAGTATAAATTCGGTGTGCATTTTATTTACGCTCTTATTTTTGCGTTTTATATATTGCTTCCGCATTTGCCAACACCGTTTTTATTAAATTCTGAAAAGTTTTCAAACGCCTTATTTACCCCCCTCTAAGGCGTGGGTACAACGACTAAACCGACTAACATATACTTCGAAACGGAGGTGGCGAACGAATCCAGTGGTGGTAAAACCAGATTTGGGCAGTGGCGGCGGCATGGGATCTTTCAGCGACGACGCCTGTAGATGGTACTTTTTGGCACTGGGGATGACGGTAGATGCGCCCCTGTCTTTTTCCACCGGATACTTGGGATAAGTCCTCCAGTGGCAACCGGCCGGAGCAATTCCCTCAGTGGGAACTTTTTAGGGAAGAAATTCCCCACTCAAACTTTTGCATGTTATACATGCGATTTTTTTCCAGAACTTTCGCATGTCCTACATGCTAAAACATCAACATCAAAGTTGCTTTTTCCAGTTGGTATCACGTAAGCTTTTCCCAGTTTTTTAAAATCATTTCGCATGAACTACATGCAAAAAAATGTAACTTTTTTATTAAATAATTTCTCCCCCAAATGCATATATGGTTCCTTAAAGAATATATAAATAATATTATTTATTTTTATATATATAATTTTTTTTACATATCATTAAATATGTATTATTGAAATTTTTGAGTATCAACATCAATAATAAATTTAAGAAGCAAATATGATTAAATATTAATTATAATGAACCAGTTTTTAAGAAAGTACACAACATAAAAAACACATAGAAAAAAGTACCATTATTTAAACACATAATTAAAAAGTACACATAAAAAATACTTAAAGCATAATTATTAGTTTGCCCTACGATCCATCTCTCCCGGATAACGATTTTGCTGTCGACGCCCTCGACGGGGAGTCTCTTCTAAGGGACGTATCGGTGGCAAGACTTTCCAATCACCAACATTCAAATTTTCTGGAAAAATGAACGGTTCAATCCAACCACTGTAACAACTTAAATATCTCTGAACAAAGTATTTGTCTGGAACAAGATCATCTGCAAGTTGTTGAAAAGAATAATACACGCCATGAACATGCACACAATGAATTCCATCTGCAATCCATTGTCCACGTGCAAATGTTATTAGCCAAATCCACCATATAATTGTACGTAGCACCTGGATCAGAACGAGAAGTATGGCTAACTATATAATGATAGTTACCATAATTTGTAGCCACCCACTTGTGCTTTGTCTTCTCGCGATGACGAAGAATTGTTGTAATTTTAGGAGTTGTGCGAATGTTCTTCTGCATCCACTGAACAGCAATCTTGTGCCTTTTTTCAAATGATTCAACCATTTTATTGTAGGACATCTTCAGTATTGCCGTAACTGGCATCATCCGACAACCTTTGAGCATATTATTAAAACTTTCCGAACTATTAGTTGTAAGAATTCCACATCTATTTCCATCATCATATCAGAGAGTCCATGCCTCGCGCAGAATATCGTTCAAGTACTTGTATGTAACTTCATTTGCGTACCTTATTTCTGCCAGGTACTCATTAAATGGTTCGATGTTGGGTGTACTCCCAACGGCCCAAACTTTACATTTAAGGTCACTGTCATGAAATTTATTCATGAAATTGCTGCGAACATGCCTTAGACAATAATGCTTGGTTATGAACCCAGTTTGTAGCTCAGGGAGATCACAATATGCATTGATAATGCCTGCATGCCTATCAGAAATTACACAAACCCGATGCGAACGAATAACTCTTTGAACAAGAAGACGAAAAAATCATGCCCAACTGTCAGATGTTTCCCCGTCAACTACAGCATATGCAAGCGAGGTGACCCTTGTACTTTCCGTACAAATGGGTCCCGTCCACCGTCACCACAGGCAAGCAATACTGTAAACCATTAATAGCAGCTGGAAATGCCCAAAATGCATACTTAAAATGCGGTCCTTCGTCCGGGGTAGCATTGAGGTTGGGAGGGTGTGAAGAGTAAACAATCTCAACGATTGTTCCTGGGTATGCATTTTTAAGGTTATATAAGATAACTGGGAGGTGCGTGTAAGAGTCCTCCCAACTACTGTGTAGCATCTCTAAAGCATGGATTCGACCTATCCAACATTTTTATAAGAAAATGCAACGTTGAATTCTTGAAGTAATTTGTGTTGAATGAGTTTACTTTGTACTCCGGGTCAACCCGTACTTTGTCAAGGATAAATCGAGCAATGCACATGTAATCCATATTGTAGCCGTTGCCTCCATGGGAAAAATCTGGATGACAACTGTGAACATCATTGAACTGCTTCAAGCGCCACCCTCCAGAGGATAGTTGTTGGGACTGAGCACGCCAAAAACAACGTGGTTGTTTGGCATGGTACCAACATCGACAAGCCCATTAAGCTCTTTTCTTGTACTCCGTTATCCAAAATCGATGTTGCGCAATCGAGTGTTTTGTGATTGCATCCTGTAAGGCATGTAAATTAGCAAACACCATACCCTCTTCCAAAGGCGCCCTAGGTTTGTATGATCGTTGTCCTTGAGTGGCAAGCTCCTCCATGCGTTTAACCCAGGCATCCTCGGTGTCTTCATTGTCAGATGGAACATACTCCGAATCGCTATCCGTGTCTGGATTGTCAATGTTCTCTTCTAAATGCACCACCCGGGCCGATCTACTGCGTCGTGTGGATGTACCCACATTTTCTTTTTCTGTGGAAATGTGTTGCGTCGAAGGGCCGACAACATGACTTCCCGTAGTATCTGTAATGTACACTTCAAGTAATCCCAAGGGACTTTCTTTGTTCAAGAACAATTCCCATGTTGCATTACTATCGATGCCCATTACTCTACAAGAGTATACACCCCCAAAAAATATGGAATTTTCCCGGAAACTTTAGCAATGGAGCCATATACAGCGTTACTAAAGTGAGTTTGTATTTCGTCTTCAACAATATCCCATGGAAAACTTGAATTGACAACAAGTGTTTTTTGGTATTCTCTAGTGTAGAGTATATGACCATCACTCTCTATGATCTCACCCCCCCAAAAAAAAATATTAAGAATTTGATTATCAGAAGAGGACATGATGAACACTACAAAGAAAAATGAATTGAAATTCTGTGATGAATGTCTAAAAAATAGTGCAAATTAATAGCAGGGAAGAGCCTTAATTTCACATGTAGTACATGCAAATTTGACTGACATGTTGACTCACTGATTTCACATGTACAACATGCAATTTTGACTGACATGCGGACTCTGACATTATTTTACTGATTTCGCATGTACTACATGCAAAATAAATGAAATTCGAATTTTTTTTGTTTCAAATTTCAAAATTAAAAAAAAATCAAATTAATATTTTTTTGTTTCCTTCAAATTTCGAAATTTTAAAAAAATTATCAAATTAAGAAATTTTTTGTTTCCTTTATAATTCAGAATTAAACATGACAAATTACCAATTTAAAAAGTTATATAATTCATAATTGTACATAACAAATTAACAACATAAAAAAATCTACTTCGTAATAAAAACATAACAAATTAACAACATGGAAAGTTCTAATTTATAATTGTACATACCAAATTAAGAACAGTAAGAAGTTCAAATTCATAATAAGCATAGGAAATTAACAACTGAAAAAAATTAATAATTCCACCACGATGAACTAGGAACATCATTAGGCATGTTAGAAGATGACCCAAACAATTAAGCTTGTGTGTCAAGGCCAGGTTGTGTATATGCTTGTGCTCCATGGCCACCTCCTTTTCCGTCGTCATCATCATCATCATCGTCTTCATCATCAACTTCATCTTCATCTTGAAGATGGGTGTTAACATCTGCGTGATAGCGTGACATATCTTGGAGTGTACTCTGGATAAGTTGTAAGCACGCATTGTTGACAACACGAGAACATCCACTCGACAAGATAGCATGCAACTTTTTGAACCCATTAACCTACAAAAAAATTTAAAATTAAGTAAATATATTAATGAGTAGTGTTTATTTAAAATAAAATATATAAGCTAGCAAACCGCAATAGCTAGAGCAGCTGCGGAGCTCTCAGCGCCTTCATTGTGATGGTGGGCAGGATTTCGTATTAGACGTCGTCCGCGTGCTGCATACCAATCTCGATAACATGTCATCTATTCTAGGGCCCGCTATTTCTCTTTCCATCTCTCTTTCTTTTTCCATGTCATCCATTTTTGCACTACAAAAATAAAATAATAAAAATTTATTTTTTTATTCTTAATATTAGTGCATACAAAATTCATTAAGAAGATGAAGGTTAATATTAGTGCATACATATGAGTGAAGTGGTGGGTGAATAAAAATATATGAGTGATAATTAAGAAGATGAAGGTTAATAGTAGTGCATACAAAATTCATTAAAAAAACATCTTCATAATTTCGAAAAATATATATATTCATGTAAACACTATCTTGAAAAAATATATTCATTAAAAAACATAATTTCGAAAAAAATATTTTCATAAATTTTAATAAAAAATTAAAAATATTATGGAGCACATAGATGAGAATATATAAACACAATTTTAATAAATCAAATGAAAATGAAAACTAATAAAAACATAACATTTATAATCAATATTATTAATATTTAAAAGCTAAGTGAAATATATGTAATAAAAAAAATACTTGAGAAATGTTGAAGGTTAGGGAGTAGTGTGAAAATAGGTTGAATTTGAAAAGTGAGTAAAGTAGTGGGTGAAGGGGTAGTTTAAATAAAAAATAGTGAGTGATAATTAAGAAGATGAAGGGGTGGGTGAAGTTGGATGGTTGAGAAGGAGGTGGTTGAAAGATGTGGTGGAGAGGAAAAGTTGGGAAGTGGAAAAGGTGATTAAAGTGGGTGGGGAATTGCTCCATTATTTTTGCATGTACTACATGCAAATAAATTAAAAAAATGAACTGTGCGTATAACATGCAATTTTACTGTAAAATCTGCAAAAGATTTGACAGTTCTGTAATTTTTTTTATTTAAGTTTTTTTTTAAATCGCAGGTAGTATGTGCAAATGTCCTTCCCAGGAATTTAATGTTCCACTTTAGGAATTATTTTTTCCTTGTTTTCCGTCTGAGGGAAACGACCCCAACCGGCCACTACAGCTGTGATGGTTGAATTCATCGACTTTGGCGGCGTTTTCCTGAGGCCATGTTAATGTAATCGAACAATGATTGGTCCAATAGGTGGTGGTTGGCCTCAACGGCGATGTCTCAGCAACGCAGATTCTAAGGGATCTCAATTCAGGCGGCAACAAATAAGAGTGTTGATATAGTTGACCCGTGTAGCGCCGCCATGCCGATTGTATTGTGGCTGCAATGTAGCCATCTTCTTCTCCCACTTCAACAACGACGAAGGCTTCATCAATTTCAATTCCAAAACGGTCCTCTTCTGTAATGACAACGACATTGGTGGTGCGTTGATGGTATATTTCGACTATAGCTTGTTGAGTGTTACTTCAAAGTCCCACATCGATGGGATAGGAAAATTGAGAAGGGATTGAAGCCTATAAATAGAGAGGGTGTATAGGCTTCAAACACACAACATAATCCTTCAATCTATATAATTGTGTATTGGATTTTAGGTTGTGAGTGTCAAATATTGGAGAGGGTTTATAATTTTTCCGTGCAAAAATTACTAGTGAGATTTTATCCCAGAGGGGGTCGTTGATAGAATGGCAATTCTAGAGGAGCCCGAGACCCGCGTCGGAACGGATGCAACTACTGAGAACGTGATGTAGAGCCAACCAAGGCGGTCGGGATGGACAATTAAACCTCTGGCCCGTCTTAAGGATTTTATTTGATTTAATATTACGGATGTACTAGTTTTTTACCCCGTGCTTCGCACGGGCTGGGGATGTATGCACGTGTTTATCATATTGTTTGATGGTACCTACCACTCGTGTTTGTCATATAGAATTTTGATTTTGAGTGTTATGCATTTAACTGAGTGGTTAAACGAAGAGTTAGTTGAGGTATACTTTATGTAAAGCATACAATAATAAGTCTTTAATTTCTTCCCTACTATTGCATTTGCATCAAGATGTGCCACTATCAAGAAAAAGTTAAGTGAAACAAAAATCATTCCGAAATGTTCAAATATCTAACTGAGAAAGTATTATTTTGGTATAATAATGCAAACAAAATGACCAACAATACTTATTTCACTTACACACAATTTTAAAATAAATCAATTGAACTGGATTATTAAGAAACTAAATCACTTTTCTTGACACCATGGTTTCTTAGAGACACTCAGAATCATATAACTCATTTTGTTTGAGCTTGATGGTTTTGTCATTGATATGTCTTTATAAATTACAAAATTTGACCAAAAAAAGGAATGTAATTAAATATGAACATCTCTTTTCATTTAGAAAGTAGAAAGATGTTCATGCTCCATGTATAACATCAAGCTTGTTGCATTGCATTGCTCTGCGTGAACATTACATAAACATAAGGAAATGAAGCAGCTCGAATAGGAGAATTTAGACACAAAGCACAACAATCTCAATAAAGTCCTACAAATAGTATAGTCTATGGAGGGAGTGTGCATGCAAATATTACCCTTACTATATAGAGACTATTTCCAAAAGATAAAACCACACATGTTATAGAATTCATCTTGTATTATGGATGGACCACAATATAAATTAGTTGAATTGTCATATTTAGAATACTTCACTTTCAGATGATACTCTTGTAATTTGTAGTTAATATTTTAAGATTTTAATATGTCAATATCATTGGACATGTTACTTTTAGATTTTTGTGAAGAATATGTCTATATGCTACCATAGAGCTTCAGCTAATAATAACTAAACTTAAAGGCATGGTCTTTATTAGGTTTTGATCTATGATTACCTGGCTAGTTTGATCTTGGTCTGTAGTTTCCCCTTCATTTCTTAAATCAGAAGTCTATAAATCCTTTTTCCCATTGTCCAATTGGCTATGTTTTGCATTCTTAACTACTGCATGGGTATGATCCTAGCTTTATCTATGTGAATCTGCACTTTAGTATGAGTATCCACATAAAAATCGAACAAAGATGCCTCAAACTTATTTCTTGGTCCCTCAATGATCAAGTTAATCAAGAAGGTATGGTCATAACTGTTAGCGTTCATAGTTTACATAATTTGGGTTACCGCCAAACCCAGCATATTTTTAAAACCCTAGCACCCGTGATGTAAGGAAATCAAAAGTAAGCAGTAAATAGATTCACCTGTAGGTGGTAACAACAATATAGTATGAGATCTACAAATACTTCAAGATACTCTCCTCTCTTTGTCTTCTTGAGCAAATACTCAACTTTTTTTATCATGTTATTGATGTCATCAGCGGGGAATGTGCTAGCACATGTGATAGTAATAATGTCTTGTTTATTCCACTCTCCTTGTCAACAAAGTGAGAGAAACTGAGTATTCTATCAAGTGCTTAAGTTTTAACTTATTCAATAACCAATAAACATCTGTTAGAAAAATAACCAATAAGCATGAAATTGATGATGGTTTTATATCTTTAAATCTTTGCCAAGACGTGAGCGTTTACCTCCCTTGCTGGCTGCTGCTGCCCTTGGGCCTTGGGTAATTCCAGCCAGAAAAGATGTCCTGGATATTATTTGTGCGAAAAAACTGCCAAATACTACATATGTGCTCCCAAAATAGCACGAAAAACCAGTTTCTAGTGCAAGTTCTCCCAAGAATATGCTCCTATTAAACTCAAGACCAGAATCAGGGGACCAAGCAGCCGATACCAACAGCCTTTGAAACCTGCTATCAATTTAATCATTTCCTATCACAGTGAAATGAAAATTAATATAAAAAGAAGCTTATATGTGATGATACACCATGAGAAGATTCTGAAAATGTGTAACATTAGAAGAAGAAATCTCATTTTTAATGGAAGAGGAGTAAACTTAAGAAAGAATATGGAACTTATATATGTGAAACCATAGGTAGCCCCCTCTCACGCATCTTTGGATCCAAAATTTTTCATTCTTTGTCTTAATTAACCTCTTGCAATTCATGACAATAGAACCTACCTTGGTATGACATCACTTACCATCCATGATTGTTGTTAATGTTATGTATTTGTGCATGGAAAACAAATTGCATTCTATGGCAACATCTCAAAGAGACAATTATATTAATCTTAATGGTGAAAATTCAGTGTTAAAAAAATAATGCAATTTGACATCATAGAAGAGTTGCTGAGGGGATTTCAAGTCATTCGGCTTAACTCTTACCAGGCTAGTGTACCTCGCAACTCATGAACCTTATACTTGGAAAGACAATATGAAAACACACTAATGTCACAATGAGGATACACATTTCAAGAGGATGCAAGTGCATACCATCACCATGATGCCGTAAATGTGTCAAGGCAATCTTTTTTTATTTATATTCATTTTCTCACCTCAATTTGTCATAAGTTATCATATATAACATTCTTAATAGTTATAGACTTGAACAAATGGGCTGCAATATCTTAGGGAAACTTATAAACGAACAGTCATTACTTAGTCAAACACCATAAAATCTTCATCCATCTTTTGCGATATATCACATAGTGCACTTTGTAATCATTTGGTTATGTTGAAACAGGTGTGAAATCTGCTAAAATAAGTCAAGATGCTTGTTTTCAAAATCTTGTTGTGGGGTATCTATCCACTGTAGATGGCTGTAGAGTAACATATATAGCTGTACAAAGCTAAAACGTACATGGTGCCATGGTGGCAGTAAATTAGTACATGTAATACACAAACCAGAAAAGAAATAACATGCATTGTATTAGTTTAGGCTATATAAGGGGGTTGGGGTTATGTACCTCATTTTTTTATGGTTACGGGCAGCTCCTTAAGAGGATGCTTTGATGTGGAGAAGTTCTTGGTCAAGATGCAGAAGCGCGGCTAACTGTCGTTGGAAGTCTATTTTAACATTGAAACGAAGTGTCTTCAGTTTTCTTCTGTTATTAGCTCCAGTGGCCTCTTTGAGCCTTTGTATCTCATCTACTTCTCAGAGTGATTGCTATTTATGGTTTCGTTCTAGACCTCAGTACGGCTATCACCATAAACAACATTTTAAAATAAGAACAAAACAGAATAAAAATTAAGAAGAACAAAACTGACCATGTATATCTAAAGCATACCATGGTAATGAAAGAATGTTTTCCCGGTTCACTTACTCCATCAAGTATATCTTCATTTGCCAAGACAATTCTAAGGCAGGACACTAATTTACAGGATCTGCAACTTAAATAAAAGGCATGGACTGGTATATTGTGTTAAAATTTTTAACACACACACACACACATACACACACACATACACATACATATTATTTTAAAAGTACTCAATAATCCATACCTGGTATGCTAGCCCTTATATCAATAGTTGAATAAAAATCCACTGTGCATCTATAACACTTAGGTCCAGTTGTTAAAATTTTAGTCTACATTTATCATTTAGGTGATAAAATTGTCAGTCGCAGATGACGAATGTGAAATTAAGTGAAATAGGGGAAGAGAGAGAAATGTACCGGCGAGTAAGAAGAACAATATCAATACTCCGCCGAGATCCAGAATCGACATCCGGAATTAGGAGCCCGACGAATGCCTTACCGCCATAGATCTTCTCCAGCCTACGCCCAACAACAGCGAATCAGTGATATTCCTTGTGGATTGACCAACAAAAGCTACCTACAAGAGTGACAATTCCGAGGTGACAGAAATTAGATTACTGCCGGGTGACGGAGAAAAGCGCGTTGGCATAACTTGTTTCGTCTTCGCGAACGTCGTTCTCTTCACGGAAGAATCGTTTCAGTAATCGGAAAATGGCGAAGCTGCAGATCACTTCGACCCACATAATATCCCGCCGGTTTTACGCCGCAGGGGATTTGGACTGGAGCAGTGAAAGGGTGGAAACTGGAAACGGAAAAGGCAAGAAACTGAAAAAAAAAACTGATCTGGCAATTACAACCTACACACATGGATCCTACGTGTAGTACACTTGGCAGCCCCACAATTGATGAACTCAACTTTATATATATATATATATATATATATATATATATATATATATATATATATATATATATATATATATATATGATATATGATTTTAGTATTTTTTAAGTGAGTGGAATTATAACACTCCTTCGAGGGTTTCTTTATAGTTCTTTACCTCGTCGCTTTTCTTGAACCGTCAAGGTTGAAAACATAGTAATTAGGGTTTTGAGCCTCTCTAAGTCTATATAAAGAGATGCTTACATCATATTAATTAATCAAGAAATAAATTACAAACCCTAATTCTCTCTCTCTTTTCTTCCCTTCCCTCTGCCGTGTTCCTCCTTCTTCTCTACAGCTGCTGTCCTTCCCAACTGTATCAACTGGTGCTTTCATTCTCTTGGACTCACCATGTCGGACGAGATTCCCTCTTCCTCCGTTCAAAACACAACTACACCTTCTCATGATGAGTTGCTCAACGCTATTCAGAATTTGGCGTTGGAGCTTCGTACTAATCGGCAGGAACATCTTGCCTTGGCGCAGCGTGTTGATCAAGGTTTTGCGCCATACTTGACGGTAGACAACCTACAACGCCTCGTCATCGCAGCATCTTGGGTAATACACCCACGGCAGGCTGTCGCCCGATTATTCCTCCCGGGTTTCCGGGTCATGACGACCCCCACGAAACCGGCATGCCTAAGGTACGTTTGGAGGCCCCGAAGTTTACTTGGACAGGACCCCGCAGGTTGGATATATAAAGTGCAATCTTATTTTGATTATTTTCGTACTCTGGAGGATTTGCGCTTGCGTCTTGTCGGGTTGTTATTTAAGATGCCGGCGTCTGATTGGTTTCTGTATCAACATAATAACAACCTTATCACGTCGTGGGGGGTTTTCTCGAGGCCGTTAAATAGCGCTTTGATCCCGCACATTATGAAGATTATATGGGCTTGCTCTGTAAATTACAACAGCGCGCATCTGTGTTGGATTATCAGGCCAAATTTGAACGACTTTTGAATAAAGTTACTGGGGTACCTGAAGCCACTTTAATCTCCATCTTCACAGTAGGTTTAAAGCCACCCATCCGTAGGGAAGTACTCTTACGACACCCATACACGTTGGGGCAGACCTTTGCCCTTGCCCGAGAATTGGCGGCTAATCACTCGGAGACTCTCGCAGCTCTTACTCCCACGGGTCGTCGGCCGTGGCAGTCTCCCGTTTCTTCTGCTGGGCCGCCCCCCTCTGACCGTCTTGCCAGCACTCCGTCGCCCACTTCGGCAACAGTTTCCTCGGGGACACGTCCCTCCGGGTCTTCTACTACACTCCCTATACGGCGTTTCACTAATGCGGATCAGGCAGAACGCGCGGCTAAGGGGTGGACCTGTGATGAAAAGTACGTCCCTGGCCACAAGTGTGCGAATCGCTTCTTGGCCCTAATTGGTGATGATGCGGCAGATCCTACCCCAGCCACTGATTTCGTCGAGGAGGGGGACTTTCCTTGATCACTGGAGATATCTCTAGCATTCACAGTATGATCGGCTACCCGAGTCCGCGTGCTTTAAAGATGACAGGGACCATTCGTGATCTCGCGGTCCAGATTTTGGTTGACGGGGGGAGTACACATAATTTTATTCGTTCGATGATCGTTGAGAAACTGCATTTACCCATGCTACCAACGACGCCTTTTTGGGTGTACATTGGTAACGGTGCCTCCATCCCATGCACCCACCAATGTGAGGCAGTCCCATTGACGGCTCAGGGTCTCTCTCGCCGTCGATTTGTTTGTGCTTGATATTCGTGGACCAGATGTCGTCCTTGGCGTGCAATGGCTTCAGAGCTTGGGCAAAATATCACACGACTATGCAGCCCTCACCATGGAATTTCACTTCTAGGGGCGACCAGTGATGCTTCGGACAGATTCTCCCCCTGTCCGGCAGGTACCTTTTAACGGGCTCCAGGCATTATTCGACACGGTAGTGGTAACGGACGGGTACGAACTATCTCTTCTGGACCCTTCGGGTCCAAGACCCGATTCCGCTGACTCAGAATTTCCGGCAGACTTACCACCATCGATTCGGGCAGTCCTTGAGCATCACCAGGCCGTATTTTCTTGCCCACAGGAACACCTTCGGCACGCCCATGGGATCATCGGATTCACCTATTGCCCGGAACGAAACCCATCAATGTCCGGCCATATCGCTACCCTTATTTTTAGAAGGCAGAAATCGAGAAACAGGTTTAAGAGATGTTACGTCAAGGTATAATACTGCACAGTCGCAACCCTTTCTCGTCCCCGGTTCTTCTCGTAAAGAAAAAAGATGGGTCCTTCCGTTTTTGTATTGATTACCGTGCCTTAAATGCTGCGACGGTGGCCGATAAGTTTCCTATTCCGACTGCTGAGGAGTTGTTTGATGAACTGGGGCAGGTGAGATTCTTCACTAAGATGGACCTCCGCTCGGGCTACCACCAGATACGCATGCATGTGTCGGACATTTTTAAAACCGCCTTCCGTACCCATGATGGCCACTTCGAATTCCTTGTTATGCCGTTCGGCCTCACCAATGCGCCATCAACATTTCATGCAGCCATGAACCACATTTTTGCTTCCTTGCGCAAATTTGTTATTGTCTTTTTTGACGATATTTTGGTTTATAGCACGACTCTGGAGAACCATGTGCAGCACCTTGATACCACTCTCCGTACTTTGGCACAACACCACTTTTTTTTTCAAACTCTCTAAATGTTCTTTTTACCGACAGACAGTGGAGTACTTGGGCCATTTAGTCTCAGCTGGGGAGCTACGCGCCGATCCGAGCAAACTGGAAGCAATCACGGCCTGGCCCACTCCAAAAACTCCATGTTAGTTACGGGGTTTCTTGGGGTTAACACGCTACTACCACTGTTATCCGTTCTTATGCCATGTTAGCCGCTCCGCTCACCGCTTTATTGAAAAAGAATGCATTTCAATGGGATTCGGCAGCATCAGAGGCTTTTGGTCGACTCAAATCTGTTATGACGACACCACCCATCCTCAGTCTCCCCGATTTTGGTGTTACTTTCGTTGTGGAGACCAATGCTTCGGACGACGGAATCGGCGGTGTTCTCATGCAACATGGGCACCCACTAGCATTTTTTAGCAAGAAATTGGGACCGCGGCGGCATTTAGCATTGGCCTATCATCGGGAGCTATATGCAATCGTGGAATCTATCCACAAATGGCGTCAATACTTGCTCGGGCGGGAATTCATTATACGGACTGACCAAAGAAGTTTGAAGGAATTACTTTTCCAGGTGGTACAAACGCCGGACCAACAGTACTATCTCCGGAAATTAATGGGATTTCGGTTTCGGATCGAGTATAAGACCAGGGTGACCAACCGTGTAGCAGATGCTCTCTCTCGCCGTAATGAACTAGATAGCACCGCCGGCGCCTTGTTCCAGGTATACGCCCAGCCCCTACGAGACGTACTACATGACATTAAACGGGAGAACGAGGTTTTGCCGTATCTGGTGGAGCTGCACACAACCGCTGCCGAGGGGTGTCTACCGGCACCATATACTGTCCATGCAGGTATTCTCTACTACAATCATCGCATCTGTCTCGGGGCTACTTCTAATCTCAAGACCCGTATACTCGAGGAATTTCACTCCTCTCGAGTATACGGGTCTTGGAACTGCCTTTTGTTAACGTGTGGCGGCAGTGTTCCATTGGCCTCAAATGTGGCGTGAGGTGCAGGCTTTTGTTAACGTATGCCTCATCTGCCAATCGACTAAATATGATACACACAAACCCGGAGGTCTTTTGCAGCCCCTGCCCATTCCTTCCCGTGTATGGGATGACGTCTCCATGGATTTTATTATGGGTTTAACCCCCTCCCGGGGTTATACGGCTATTATGGTAGTGGTTGATCGACTCAGTAAATACACACACTTTGCCCCTCTACCTACTTCCTTCGATGCCCTCAAGGTCGCGGCACTGTTTGTCGATACAGTTATCAAACATCATGGTTTTCCGACGACCATCTTCTCTGACCGCGATCCCATCTTCCTTAGTACATTTTGGCGGGAGCTGTTCTCTTTAAGTGGCACGACATTGCGCCATAGTACGGCCTATCACCCTCAAACCGATGGGCAAACGGAGGTGTTGAACCAGAGCTTGGAGCAATATCTACATGCCTTTTGTCACTCACGCCCATCTCGTTGGGTGACGTTCCTGGCATGGGCCGAATTAGCCCGGAATACCACCTACCATGAGGGTATTCGGATGTCCCCATTCCAAGCGTTGTATGGTAGGGAACTGCCTTCTTTGATGCCATATACGACGGGTATTAGCAAGGTCCAGCAGGTTGATGAGCTGCTCACTGAACGCACGGCTCTTTTATCGGAATTGAAGCGGAATCTCGTGGCCATGCAACAACGCATGTCCGCCCAAGCTAATGGTCATCGCCGCCATGTCGAATTTAAAGTCGGGGATCAGGTACTTTTGAAATTACAGCCTTATCGTCAGCACTCGGTGGCTCGCCCCCAGTCCGCCAAGCTAGCCCGTCGTTTTTATGGGCCTTTCACTATCCTGGAACGCATAGGCAGTGTGGCCTACAAGTTGCAGCTGCCCGGGGATTCGCGTATTCATGATATCTTTCATGTCTCGTTGCTTCGACCTTTTGTACCAAGTACGACGTTGCCACCCATTGCTATGCTACCACGGGAGTTTCATCACGGTGCCCCACTCTCGGTCCCTACTCGCGCAATTGAAGCGCGTACGGTCCTTCACAACGGCATCGCCGCTGACCAGTGGTTAGTCGTTTGGTCAGATGGAGATGGGGCGAATGCTACTTGGGAGCCAGTGAGTTCTATTTGGCAGGCATATCCGGAGCTCGTCCTTGAGGACAAGGACATTTTTGAAGGGCGGGCAAATGATACAATGGCAATTCGAGAGGAGCCCGAGACCCGCGTCAGAACGGATGCAACTACTGAGAACGTGATGCAGAGCCAACCAAGGCAGTCGGGACGGACAATTAAACCTCCGGCCCGTCTTAAGGATTTTATTTGATTTAATATTACGGATGTATTTTAGTATTTTTTAGGTGAGTGGAATTATAACACTCCTCCGAGGGTTTCTTTACGGTTCTTTACCTCGTCGCTTTTCTTGAACCGTCAGGGTAGAAAACATAGTAATTAGGGTTTTGAGCCTCTCTAAGTCTATATAAAGAGATGCTTACATCATATTAATTAATCAAGAAATAAATTACAAACCCTAATTCTCTCTCTCTTTTCTTCCCTTCCCTCTGCCGTGTTCCTCCTTCTCTACAGTTGCTGTCCTCTCCTTCCCAACTGTATCAGTCGTGGAGTAGGTCTTGAGGTACCGAACTACGTTAAATATATTATGTGCTCTTTTTCTTTCCTTTCCATTTGTTTGTAGTAGGGGGGCCTAACATAGCTAGCGATGGAGAACATTAGCTTTGGGAGTGCTTTGCTTTATCCGTAGCAACCCGGTGCTCTTTTTCTCCCTCTTCAATAGCTGCGGCAATAGACATTTGATCCGCTAGTGCAGCGGGGGCGTCACAGTGCTGAAAATAGACTGGCGGCAGCTTCCATGGTTCTCGCAGAGCCGGCCGGCAGTGGCAGGACTCAGGCGACGGCAGCGACCCAGAAAAAAACTAAACGAGGCAGCTACGGAGGATCTCATCAACAGTAGAGACTAATATCAATTTCATTAGTGGCGAAGGTGGTAATGCCAAATATCTCCCCACCACTGTTTTCCTTCTCTTTCTTTCCTCTTTCTTCTTGCATCCTTCCCCAGCATTTTTCCCTTTTTTTTAATGGAGGTACACCAGCCAAAAAAAAGATTGAGATTGTTGGGATTTTAAGCGCGTAAGATACCGAAAAATATTGAGAATACCAGAAAAATGAGATAACAAACACAAGAAGAATATATGAGAGAAAAAAATTATATTTCCACTATTTCAGGACAATATACAAAAAACTCTCTCCCTGTTTACAAGGCTAAATTCCAGACACTCATAAATAGATCTTTCCACATCCTATGCCCGGATGTATTTTTCTGAGTAACTAAAACCAGTTACTCCCTACACTCACCCACACTCACCAAGATCCCTTGGATTTCCCGGTGGTATTCTTGTGTAGAACACTCTTCTCTCTCTACCTTGGTGTGTAAAACACACACATACATACCACTCACTCTTCATGGCTTTATAATACTCAAACGAGTAATGCCAACACTAAGAGCCAAAAAAGGATGACACATCCTTTGATTCCAACCAAAAGCAAAGTCACGCACATGCATCCATATGACCATGTCCTCCACCTTTTTCCTTTCCTCTTCCTTTATTTTTTCTTTTTCTTATTTTTCTTTTGATTAATTTATCAAATTTCCCAACAAACTCCACCTTGATTAAATAATCAAAAAATTTTGTAGCTCCACCTCATTTGTCACGTGAGATCATCGCTACCCCCAAAGAAAAAATATCCTTGGCGCCATCTCAGTCTGCTCCACCGAGATCACCGCTGCCATCCTCAAAGAAAAAAAATCCTCGTGGCTCCACCTTGGTCCAACCACCAAGGTCCTTGCCGCTTCCAGTTTTCATTGTACCCGTGACACCATCTCAACCAATCCGTCAAGATCACCGCCACAACCTTAGCTCCTTGGAGTTTTAACCCTCCACATCGAGCTAAAAAAATGACAACTCACCTTTGATAACACTTTCTGAGACCACCCATCTAGCAATTAGCTTCCTTCGATCCGCCCATCTTGCACCGCCGTAGCAACACCAGCGGGACTCGCCGCCCGACCTCTTCTTTTCGGGAAGACTTTCGACACAAGACATAAACCGCAGTTTTCCACTCCGCTAGACCACGAGTCTCCTCTTATCATTTTCCTGCACCATGCTTCACAAAGCCAGCATGCCACTTCGTACCCGGTCCTCATGCCATCCACTTTGTTCTTGAAGTCTCATGGTCGCCTTCTAGCCAAAACCGACCAGTCCCTGGGTTCTCAAAATTTCTCCTTTTACCGCTTACAAATCCCTCCTGCCAGCGTAACCAAGCTCTGATACCAATTGTTGGGATTTTAAGCGCGTAAGATACCGAAAAATATTGAGAACACCAGAAAAATGAGATAACAAACACAAGAAGAATATATGAGAGAAAAAAATTATATTTCCACTATTTCAGGACAATATACAAAAAACTCTCTCCCTATTTACAAGACCAAATTCCAGACACTCATAAACAGATCTTTCCACATCCTATGCCCGGATGTATTTTTCTGAGTAACTAAAACCAGTTACTCCCTACACTCACCCACACTCACCAAGACCCCTTGGATTTCCCGGTGGTATTCTTGTGTAGAACCCTCTTCTTTCTCTACCTTGGTGTGTAAAACACACACATACATACCACTCACTCTTCATGGTTTTATAATACTCAAACGAGTCATGCCAACACTAAGAGCCAAAAAAGGATGACACATCCTTTGATTCCAACCAAAAGCAAAGTCACGCACATGCATCCATATGACCATGTCCTCCACATTTTTCCTTTCCTCTTCCTTTATTTTTTCTTTTTCTTATTTTTCTTTTGATTAATTAATCAAATTTCCCAACAGAGATAAGATCTCCTTTTTTTGTAGCGCAACTCTCTCTTTTTTTGAGCAACACATCTACTCACCTCTATCATTTTGGGTGAACAAGATTAAGGAACTAAAATATCATGGCTTTTCGCTCAAGTCCCACGGTCGGCGCCAAAATGATGGTGTAAATTAGCGACCGAGATATCATTTTTAGTTAGGCAAAAATGATAAATTAGTCTAAAAAATACACCAAAATATAAATCCGAGAATTTTGACGTGGAAACCCAAATCGGAAGAAAATCACGAGTCTTTTTTGGCGGTACCTTGCCAACGGGGGATTTTTATTAATATCGGGGGTTGTACACGGTATATGATTTAGACTTAGAAGCCATTAATGGTGGAGCTAGAATCTCTTGAAGAAGAAGAAGAAAAATACATAAAATCTAGAGAGAAAGAGTAAATGGGCAGGGAGAGGAAAAATTGGCCTCCCCTCTCAATTAGGGCAACCCCTTCTTTTTTAGGGAGGAGGGGTAGCATCTTCGGAAGAATATCCTATTATTTCTTTATTTTACGAAACAGGCCGATTTGATTATTATTCATAAGTAATTGGTAAATGTGGGCCGAGCCACGTATTATTTCCCATCAATTTAAAAGCTAAAAGTATAATTTGGCATCAACTTTATGTCCATCGACATATTCCGATATTGGTTAGACAAATAATACAAAATAATGATTATGATTGTGGGCAAGAATTTCAAAGAAAGACTACATGTGTAGACTTAATTCTAGTAGAAAGCAATTGTAATTCACAAATGACACATTAACAGTGGCTAGTCCTGTCAATGGGTCAGGACCCGAACCCGTATAATTCCCATGATTTTTAGCGCGTTTAGAAATATAAAAAATACTGTTTACCCGTACCCAAATCATACCCGTTTTTTTTTAAAAACGGGCCGGGTATATGACGAGTAGTTCCGACCCGTTTAAAACTCGTACTAGTTAAATAAATAGATAATATTAAATATTACAAAACACATCCCCTTCTTGTGCTACTCCTCTTCTTTTCCAAATCTATTTGTATTTATTTTACCATGTTAAAGACATATACATATTAGTTTATGCAGTAGTATGAAATGAATAGTTTGAAATTAGTTGTAATATTATAAAAAATATCTTGCAACATGAATGAATGTGACAGGAACATTGATTATGAATCTAAGATTTTTGTTGTAGACTTTTGGTAAAGAAGAATGATTTTTGTTATAGTAACGTGCTAGTGTAATTTTCATTTGTATTCAATTAACATGTCTTTATTCATAGTATTTTCACTATTTTTTTCAATTATTGAAAAATACAACCCAACCCGTTACCGAGACCTATTAGATCCAAATCTAAGATTAAATTTCAAGACCCACCCGGGTTAATGGGCACAGGTCTGAATAAAGTTTTTTTTTAAAAAGGGCACGAGTATAAAATACTATGGACCGACCTGAATTCGACCCATTGACAAGGCCTTTGAAATTATGTATGACAAGAAAAATATATTATAATTGTGAAATTATACTTTTAGCCTCAAATTAACACCAATATGATAAAATATAAAAAAAAGAATGATTTGTGGAAAGATACCTAAAAAAGGATCATCGAAGTAATATTTGATAACTGAAGACTAAATAGAGAAACTTCTCTGTTATAAAAGATCAATTATGAAATTTACTATAAGTTATACCCCAGAGTAATATAAATTTAGTAAAACTATATTTATTGAACAAATTCATTCTGAGAAATTTGCGTAAATAATATTAAAAATAATGACTTTCCCTAAATAGCATTACATGTGTTTTTTTCTCAATGTAGCACTTTTAGTAATTTTCTATTAATCATTATTCAAGTAAATATTCGTCATCACTAGACATTATGGACATTATTAATTGCTATTTAAAGAATAAAACAGTTTAAATGCTATTTGGAGAAATGACTTAAGTTTTAATATTCCGAATACTATTTAGTGCAAATATTTCATTATCAATTGTGTTGGGGTAGGTGGTTTAAGGTAATCCTTGTCGTCAACGATGGGGCACCCAGACAGAGTCAATTTCGTGTAATACAAAATCAATGTCTTCTTCTTCTCCTCCGGCTTTTTGTCGTCTCCACAGTCCCCTACTTTTCCATCTCACGCCTGCGCAGTGGTTTCCTTTGTAAAATTTTAGTATGGATCGCTCTTAAGCCGAAGTTTTTTCTCAACAAAATCCACCCATGGATCCCTCACTCAGTGCCGTGTCTCTCCATTATCCTTCCCGCAAGGTGATCGATCACTTTCCTGTTCTCGAATCCAGATTATCCAGCTTTACTCTGTAACATGGCAATGGGTTTCTTCCAATTATTGGGTTTTGTTTATTGATGCCAAATCTTGTTGAAAAGTTGAATGCGCTTTTGCTATTGTTTTTGAAGACTAATCTTTGGTTGACTACGGGTTTTCAGTTTCTAAGTCTTGATGAAATTTGTGAAATTATTAGCACTGAAAAGCTTGATTCTATTGAAGTTAGTCCTCACTGTTAAAAATATATTCAAATCTCTAATGCCTAATTACGAAGATTGTTCCCACACACAACTAAATTCTGGCATATCACTTTGAAGTTTGAACTTAATCACTCCGAAAAAATTACAAGGA